CTCTGTTCTTTGTTAGGTATCTCCATACCATAGAATCACCTGTGTTGTATTTCTTAGCTACTAAATTAGCTCTTTGGCAATATTTAGACCTTAGAAAATGACTCCACAAAGACTTCTTTGTTCTAAAATCCCACCAATGTTTATACTGAAATGCTTTAAAAATGTCTTCAAGCAGTCTTATCCCAATTCCATCCTTATTCATTGGATAAGCCAAAGTATCCCAAGAAGTCCAATGATACTTTTTACCATCTTTGTCAACTCCCCAAAAGAATTCAGCCATCACTCTTTTAATATAATTTAAAGTAGTCTTTGGAGGAGACATAACTGCTAGTGTGTGGATAGGAATAGCTTGCAGTACATGTTTCACTAGAGTTGTTTTACCTCCAAAATTTAAGATTTTTGATTGCCAGCCTGAAACTCTTTTAATCACCTTGTTTACAACCTCTGAAAAGTAAATAATTCTTTGTCCACCAATGTATAAAGGACATCCCAAGTAACTTATAGGGCTGTTCTTCCTGCTAAAGCCAATTACCATTTTGATATCCTCAATTATTTCTTGACTAGTCTTAGAAGTAACCATGAAGAAACTTTTATCCTTATTCACCTTCTGATCAGACTCCCTTTCATAATCCTCAATCACCTTCATAATGAGATGTAAAGACCTTCTATCAGTAGAAGTAAAAATAATGATATCATCTGCAAAACTCAGATGATTAATTTGAGGTCCTTTCTTTTCCATGTTGAAACCTCTATATAACTGATTAGTATAGAGAAGATTTAGCTTCCTTGAAAGAACTTCAGCCCCAATAATAAAAAGAGCTGGTGACAGGGGATCTCCTTGCTTAAGACCCCTAGTAGAATGAAAAAACCCATGCCTTTTCCCATTAATCACCACTGAATACCAATTATTGCTCATAATTTTCCAAGCTCTATCAATGAATAATTCACTAAACCCCAGCTTTCTCAAAACTATACAAGTATATGCCCATGAAACCCTGTCATAGGCTTTGACCATATCCAATTTAATGACAGCATTCTCACCCTCCTTAGGAAGTTTAATACCATGAATAATCTCTTGAGCCAGCATTATGTTTTCAGATATACTTCTTCCTTTAACAAATCCAGACTGATTCTCTGAAACAATGTTAGGAAGAATAGAAGCCAATCTAGTGCTCAGGATTTTGGAGATGATCTTGTTAGTAAAATTACTAAGGCTGATAGGTCTATAATCCTTAAGCTTGTTGGGATTATTAACCTTAGGAATCAATACTAGGCAAGCATGAGTCATATATCTAGGCAATATATTACCACTAAAGAAAGATTTTACTGCAGCCATCAAATCATCTTGAATAATATTAAAACACACTTGATAGAATTTGCCTCCTATTCCATCAGGTCCTGGAGCAGAATTTGGATTCATACTCATGATAATATTTTTCAGTTCCTCAACATCAGGCATTTTGTCCAACTCTGAATTCTGTTCTAAGGTTATCAAATCAGGAATACACTGTAACATCTCCTCTTTAATCTTCTCATTTTTTCCTGTGAAAATGTTTTGATAATAGTGACAAGCTTCCTTAGCAACATTATCTTCACCATGAATCCATACTCCACTGTCATTCATAATTTTGTGAATAACCATCCTATTTCTTCTTCCTCTAATCACAACATGAAAATACTTAGAGTTTGCATCACCCTCCTTTAACCATTGTAACTAAGATTTCTGTTTGAGGATAGCATGCTCTAATTTCAAGTACTTAATATAATTAGCATTGGCAACACTTAACTTCTCTCTATTAACACTGCTATTTTCCATAATCATATCTTCTTCAGCACTTTTAACAGCCTCCTCATACTATTTCATTTTTTCAAAAACATCACCATATTCCTTATTAGACCAACTCCTTAAAGTTTTTTTTAGTCTCTTCAATTTTGTATGTAAAATCCACATAGGATCCCCTTTGACCTGTTTCTTCCAACAATTTTCTACAGTTGATAAGAAAGAATCATTCTCAGTCCAATAATCTAGAAACCTGAAATACTTAATAATATTGGCCTGTTTATTACTCATCTCCAATAGTAAAGGACAATGATCAGAACCAACTGAGGGAAGATGAGTAATATTACTATGACACATCTTATCCAACCATTTGTCATTAACCATTCCTCTATCCAATCTTTTCCACACTCTATCACCATTCTTTCTGTGATTACACTAGGTATAATGCTGGCCATTGTATCCATAGCCATCAAACCACAAGCCTCTATAATGCTAATAAACTCCAAACTTTTGTTAATATTATAAGCTTTACCCCCCTTCTTCTCCCGAGTATCATATATCACATTGAAATCTCCAATAGTACACCAAGGATAACCAGTGTTAGACCATTTTAACATGCTTTCCCAAAGAGGCTTCCTCAAATATTCTTTGCACTTATCATAAACATAAGTAATAAGAAACTTTTCCTGGCACTCCTCATGAGTGATTTCACAAGTAATCTATTGATGGTCACTTTCCAAAATATTACAGGTCACCTCATTTGACCAAAATAACCAAATTTTGTTATTTGGATTACTATGACCATAATTCATCATCAGCTGCATTCTATAAGATTCTAAAAGAGAAGGATTAGCAAAAGGCTCCAAAACTGCAATCATGGACAAATTATGAAACTTCTTTAAATTGATCAGTCTTTCAAGAGCACCAAAAGTCTTAATGCTCCTAGGATTCCAACAAATCATTTTGGTCATCATATTCCTCTACTCCTAGCTCTAGTGTTAGGTTTACTAAAACTAGTATTTTTATTATGTTTCAACAGTTTTCTACCTCTTGGAGAGAGTCCTTGCTTGCTAGTGACCTCTCTAATATCATCCACATTAGAGGTGTGTAACAAAGGGCCTGTTTGAATTTGGTAAAGAGGTTCCAGTATCCTCACCTTGTTCCTTGCTTTCCCCTAAGGATTGAGTATCAGCATCATACTTATCCTCAGAGTCAGGTTCCTTATACTCATCAAAATTATCTCTTTGATGACTACTAGGATCCTTACCAGCATTAGAAGAACTAGGATTATTCTTATTACTTAACTTATGACTATCAGGATTAGTTTTATCAGGAGGAACTTTACTAATATTACTCACATACCCCCCCTGATCAACCATTTTGCCTTTTCCTTTATCCATTCTAGCCTGATTTATAGAGTCTTTCTCCTGACCACTTCCATCCTCACCTCCAACAGCTACACCAGCATATTTATCAACAATATGAAGGGGTTTAGGGAGGGGGAGCATTGAGTCAATACCTGATTGTCTTATATTCCTTTGATGTTGTCCAGGTTGATCCTTTGTATTACTTTGTATATCCATTCTTTGCTGAATATTACTATGTTCATCATGTTCATTGAATCCTGCAATGTGAGCCTGTCTTTGTGATGGCTTAGTCAATCTAGCAATATTCTGAGGCCTCTTCTCTTGTAAATGTTCTGTTTGCTCCTCCACTTCTTCTCCCAAACTATTAAGTTCCTGCGCTTCTAAATCAATATAAGTGTTTTGTGTAGGGATAGAAACAATACTTGTCTGCATTTGAGGATGTTGAACTACTGCTCTGGCAGTATTAAATCTGATTTGCTGATTAGCATGTCTTCTTCTTTGTATATGCCAATCATCCTGTGTCATCTGCTATTGATTTTCCTGAGTTTGTTGCCTTAATTGATTTTGATCCACCTCTCTTCTACCAATATCCATACTCTTCCCAGTCTATTTTTCAGCAGTAACATTTTGAATATTATCTTTCCCAATTCTGTTTTTCTCCATCTCCTTTCTTCTTTTATTTTCTTCATCTCTTTGTTTGATTATACAATCAACCTCTTTATGCCCTTGATGCTTGCAATAGAAACAATAATCTGGTATGTTGTCATAATCTTTTTTTTGCCATCTACCATCAGTTATGTCTTCTCCAATATAACCCATCCAAATGCGTGATGGTCTTTCCCTTGTTAAATCCACTTGGACTTTGACTCTAGCTTGACTTCCTCTTGTCTTATTAATAGAAGCTGAGTCTAAATACAACACTCGACCAATTGGTGAAAGAAGGCTAGTCATAAACTCTTATAGCAATGCCAAGGCAACTCAGGTAAGGATATCCAAATGGGAACAAGAGGTGTTTCTTCATCAGGCTTGAATGTGGGAGTCCAAGCCTGTATCCTCATAACTTGCCCTGCTATATTCATTCTTTGTTTAGTCCACACCATATTATAATCCAACTATGTAAACATGCCTCGAATTGAAGTGAGCTATTTGAACCCCCCTGCTAATTGTGTTTGGAGAATGAAACTTTTCCTTATCAACTCTACTCTAGGCATTGTGTAGATAAACTTCCCAATCAAAGTAAATTTACATGTTGAAGCCAAGTCTTTCACCACTTCATCCTTCACATATAATACAACAGGTAAGCCTTGCTTGGTAGTGATCTCAGGTTCTGTAAGTTTAATACTCACTTCCTTCTTAGACTGGTTAAACCTAAGTCTATCAGCATAGGTTTGGATCACTGTATAGGGAGTAGGCTCTTGTATTTGATCCTTCTTAGGTAGGGTATCAGTATTACCAAAATTAAGATCCCTCTTATCAGCCAAATTCCTATTTGCAGGTCGATCAAAATTGGTAGAAATCTTAGGAAAATTAGTTTGATAACTCTGATTTCTACCAGCATCCTCACTATCAATGTCAATCTCTTGCAAATTACCATCATAAGAAGAATTAATGTTGGAAATAATAGGATTACCTTGAATCTTTCCTTGTTGATGGATTATTGCAGAGGAATTCCTAGCCCTTGACCTATTCTGCTTAATTTGCCCAGCTTCTCTCAATCCAGTATTTCTTGGATTTGGGATTGATACATGTTGCTGATGATGATAAGTTTCTTGTGCCCTATTCATATTAGAATTACGATTTTGGAATTGAATGGACGAATTACCCTGCTGTTGACTATCGCGAATTTCTTTTTCTTAAAGAACTTGCTGCGATTCCACTAATTCTTTTTCCTGTCGCGATTCAATGTTGCGAACTCCCATTCCATCTCCAATTTGTTGCGTAATTGGAGACACTTCCACTGTAACTGATTCTTGTCGATTTTCATCCGATCGATCTTGTCGAGAACACAATTTCGCCTCCTCTCCACCCTGCAACTCGACTATGTCGAGTTCCGTCTGTTCCTCCCCCCTTCGTAATTCATCCACCTTCCCACTAGTATTTCGATTCCTTTCTTCATGACGACGAACTTCATCCATGTCCTCCTCCACCGTCGTGACTTGGATTGCCTCTTCCCTCAAGTGCGAAGAGGAGGACGATGATCCATCCGTCCCTGCTATACTTGTAGGCTGAATAGTAGGATTTCCAACCCCTGAAGACGGATCTGGGGGTCGGAATCATTCATCCGCTGGATTTCCAGCCATTCCAAACACGAATTGCAAATCTAATTCACCGATCAGCAACTACAACACAACAATTCTTGAGCGATTTCTATAGAGAGAAAAAAATTTTAGAGAGCGAAAATTTTTAGAGAGAAAAAATCTGCAAAATGAAAAAGCGATAGGGTTTAGGGTTTAGGGTTTAGTGTTTAGGGTTTCAGGGTTTAGGGTTTAGGGTTTTTTTAGGGTTTAGGGTTTAGGGTTTAGGGGTTTAGGGTTTAGGGTTTATGGTTTAGGTTTTTTTTATTTGAACGACCCTTGAGGTGGGTCAGGGGCTTAGCAACACCCCCAGGCCTTAGCAACACCCCCAGGCCTTAGCATTTATAAAACAAAATTTACATGAAGGGGGACATAAGACCTTACCTTCTATCCTTTGTGGTTTATTGACTTCTCTTCTAAGAGTAGTCAAGTTAACCTTTTACAATATGAAGCACTAAATAGAAACAAAAGCCTAGAGAGGACTCCTCCCTTAATACATTTGTCTAATAATGCATGAATAAGGGAGACTCTCCCCTTACAAATTTATAAACAAGGATAAACAAATCAACTAACTATAACTAGTTAACTAATTGTTTACATGACATTTGATATTTACAATAATCATACTGTCTTGAAGCCTTGTCATGGTGGATACTTGATTGTTTTAATCTTCCTTCTTCTAAAATTTTGTATGCCCATTCTTTCTAATATGTAGCTCCCCCGGATCGCTCCCTTTAATTGATGTGAAGTATAAAAGTGTTGAGGTATATCCATGGTGTGGCTCCAGTTTGCTAACAAGTCAGCAGTAGTATTGGATTCTCTGTAAATGTGTGTGCAATTAAAGTATTCCAACTTCCTTTGTATGTGTAAGATTTGATCAACTTCCTGCTGGCATCTCCAGGGTGTACTCTTAGTGTTGTTGATCCATTTGCATATCAATTGAGAATTCACCTCCAATTCCAGCTTTTTGTATCCATTTTGTTGACACCACTCGAGTCCATATAATGCTGCTTTTAGCTCTACCATATTATTAGTACCAAAACCAAAAGGAATTGAAAATGCATAAATAATCTTACCTTGGTGATCCCTAAGGATTCCACCACCACCAATTTTACCTGTTTCTTGTATAACACTGCCATCAGTGTTCAATTTGTAAAAGCCTTCCTTAGATTTCTTCCAGCAAACTATAATAATTCTATACTGTTGATGACATTGCTCAGCAACTTTAATCAAATGATCCAAGCTAGACTGCCATGGAATATTAGGAAACACTAATCTAGTGATCTGCATTATATCCTTAAATATACCATACTGCACTCTTTTTATACTGGATTTCTTATCACCATATTTCACACCACACCTGTTTTTCCAAAGATTCCAACAAATAAAGTTAGGAACAATATGCATAAGTAATTTGTGTACCTCATTAATTGTAGGCTGATTCCTCCAATGCATGAGTTGGCTTCTGATAGTTGTATAAAGTTTTGTTACTCCCAGTTTGGTAGCATGATATTTCCAAATAAAGTTGGAAAAATTCCCAGTAAGTAATATATGGTTAATATCATCTTTTCCTTGTTTATAACAACAATAACAGTCTTCTGCAGGTCTTCCAAATTTTTGTAAACTTTCATTGGTTGGAAGTTTACACAGTAATGCTCTCCAAATAAAGAAGGCAACCTTAAATGGAATGTGTTTATGCAAAATAATATTGTTAATAGGATCAATAGATTTCTTCTTTCTAATAATCTTCCATGCTGAAGAGATAGAAAAATTTCCATTTTCCTCTGGCATCCATATAGCAGTATCTTCCACTCCTTCTTGATACTTTATTTGTGTTTGTAGAATATGAGGAATCAACAATGGTTGCACTTGTTGTTGAATGTACCTTTCATTCCATTTTCCATTTGTGAAAAACTCAGCCACTACACTGTTATTCAAGCTTGAAATATTGTCACTATAATTAGCTATAGCACCATTGCCTAACCAATTATCCCACCAAAAGCTTGAAGTTCCTGAATTGATATTCCATTTGATATAAGGTTCCACTTCTGACCTATTCCTTGTTAAATATCTCCAGACCAAAGAATCACCTGTGTCATATTTCTTAGCAACTGTATTGGCTCTTTGACAATACTTAGCCTTCAAAAACTGACTCCACAAAGATTTCTTTGTTCTAAAATCCCACCAATGTTTGTACTGAAAGGCTTTACTAACATCATCTAGTAATCTTACCCCAATACCCCCTTCATTAGTAGGATAAGCCAAAGTGTTCCAAGAAGCCCAATGATACTTTTTGCCATCTTTATCCAACCCCCAAAAGAAGTCTGCAATTGGTTTCTTAATATAGTTAAGAGTGGTTTTTGGAGGAGACATAGCAGCCAGTGTATGTATAGGAATGGATTGCAGGACATGTTTCACAAGAATTGTTTTACCTCCAAAGTTTATAATTCTTGCTTGCCAGCCTGAAATCCTATTTATTACCTTTTCCACCATTTCTGAAAAATAAATAATTCTTTGTCCACCAATGTATAAAGGGCATCCTAAATACTTAATAGGACTCTCCTTCATACCAAAACCTGTTACCAGCTTAATGTTCTCAATAATATCATGGTTAGTCTTTGAAGTGACCATGAAATAACTTTTCTCTTTGTTCACCTTTTGATCAGACACTTGCTCATACTCCTTAATAATTTTTATAATGAGATGTAGAGATTGTCTATCAGTGGAAGTGAAAATAATAATATCATATGCAAAACTCAAATGATTAATATGAGGCCCCTTATTCTCCATGTTGAAACGTTTATACAGCTTATTATTATAAAGAAGATTTAAGTTCCTTGACAGAACTTCAGCTCCAATAATAAAAAGAGCTGGAGACAGAGGATCTCCTTACTTAAGACCCCTTGTAGAGTGAAAAAAGCCATGCCTTTTTCCATTAATCACTATAGAATACCAGTTATTACTCATGATCCTCCAAACTCTATCAATGAACATTTCACTAAACCCCATTTTTCTCAAAACAATACAAGTGTATGCCCATGACACTCTGTCATATGCTTTGATCATATCCAATTTAATGACTGCATTCCTACCTTCTTTAGGTAATTTAATTCCATGGATAATTTCTTGTGCTAACATAATATCCTCAGAGATACTCCTTCCTTTAACAAAACCAGATTGGTTATCTGATACAATCTTGGGAAGAATATAAGCCAATCTAGTACTCAGCACTTTGGAGATAATCTTATTGGTAAAATTACTAAGGCTAACAGGCCTATAATCTTTCAACTTATTGGGATGATCAACTTTAGGAAGCAATACTAGACAAGCATGAGTCATATATCTAGGCATAGTATTACCATTAAAAAAAAGAAGTAACTGCAGCCAATAAATTATCCTGAATAATCTCAAAACACACTTGATAGAATTTGCCTCCAATCCCATCAGGACCTGGTGCAGAGTTGGGGTTCATACTCATAATAATACTTTTCAATTCCTCAGCAGTAGGCATTTTGTCCAAATAAAAATTTTGTTCTACTGTTATCAGCTCAGGAATACACTGTAACAACTCCTCATTAACTTTGTTTGATTTTCCAGTAAAAATATTGTGATAATATTCACAGGCCTCCTTAGCAACATTATCCTCACCCTGAATCCATACACCTCTGTCATTCATTATTTTATGAATAACCATCTTGTTTCTTTTACCTCTAATCACAGCATGAAAATATTTAGAATTTGCATCTCCCTCTTTCAACCAATGTAACTGAGATTTCTGTTGGAGAATAGCATATTCTAATTTCAGATATTTAATATAATTTGCATTAGCTTCACTTAACTTTTCTCTGTTAGCTCTACTATTATCCATATCATATCTTCCTCAGCACTTTTAACAGCTTCCTCATAATGTTTTACCTTTTCAAAAACATCTCCATACTCTGTTTTTGACCACTCTCTCAAAGTTTTAGTTAGTCTCCTCAACTTTGTATGTAAAATCCACATAGGCTCACCATTGACCTCTCTTTTCCAGCAATTTTCCACAGTTGATAAAAAAGAATCATTATCAGTCTAGTAGTTGAGAAACTTGAAATATTTAATAACATTGGATTGATTATTATTTATCTCCATCAATAAAGGACTATGATCAGAACCAACAGAAGGGAGATGAGTAATACTGCTTTGAGGCATCTTGTCCAACCATTTGTCATTCACCATACCTCTATCAAGTCTTTTCCACACTCTATCACCATTTTTCCTATGATTACACCATGTATAATTCTGACCATTGTAACCCATGTCCATGAAACCACAAGCCTCTATAATGCTGAGAAACTCAAGGCTTTTATTAATATTATAAGCTCTGCCTCCTAGTTTCTCCTGAGTAGAGGATATCACATTGAAATCCCCAATAGTTCACCAAGGATAACTAGTATCAGCCAATTTAAGCAGATTTTCCCACAGTGGCCTCCTCAAATGATCCTTACACTTAGCATAAACAAAGGTGATGATGAACTTTTCACTACACTGCTCATGAGTAATTTCACAGGTTGTTTGTTGCTGATCACTGTCCAAAACCTTACAAACTACCTCATTTGACCAAAATAACCAAATCTTATTATTTGGATTACTATGAGCACAATTCATCAGCAGCTGCATTCTATAAGATTCTAGATGAGACATGTTAGAGAGAGGTTCCAAAACAGCAGTCATGGACAAGTTATGTATCTTCCTTAAGTTGATCAATCTTTCAATAGCCCCAAAAGTCTTAATGCTTCTAGCATTCCAACAAATCAACTTTAACATTAAAAACCTCTACTTCTAGCTCTAGTGTTAGGTTTACTAATACTAGTATTTTGATTATGCTTCAACAATTTTCTACCCCTTGGAGAAAGGCCTTGCTTGCCTGCAACATCTCTAATTTCCTCAGCATCAGAATTATGTAACAAGGGACCTTTTTGTATTTGGTAAGAAGTACCTACAGCCTCTCCTGTCTCCCTTCCTTCCCCCAGGAATTGAGTATCAGCATCATACTCATCCTCAGAGTCAGGTTCCTTATATTAATCAAGATTATCTCTTTGATGAATATTTGGATCATTACCAGGATTAGAAACATTAAGGGTATTAGTCTTATTACTCATCTGTTTATATTGATTAAAATTGATTTTATCAGGAGGTACTTTGTCATTTAAGGACCCCTGCTCACCAATTTTACCTTTTCCTTTAGATAATCTAGAATAAGTAATACTATCTTTCTCCTGACCACTTCCATCCAAACCTCCAACAGCTACACCAGCAGAATTCTCAACAACAATAGTAGCAACATTTACATCAGAAATATTAAGGGGTGTAGGGAGTGGGAGCATTGAGTCAATACCTGATCTGTTAAGTTCCTCTTGTTGATAACCAATTTGTTCAATTCTAGGATCCTGAGTATCCCTCCTTTGTTGTGTATTTCTTTGATCCCTCTTATCATTGCTTCCTTTATTATATACTTGACCTGAACTTGTTATTGTCTCTTGTTGATAACCAATTTGGTCCTTTCTAGGCCCCTGATTTCTTCTTTGTTGTTGTGTGTTTCTTTGTACATTATGCTCATGGATTCCAACATCATGTACCTGAGTTTGTGATGGCCTGTTTGAAGCTTCCAAAGGCTGATGCTGTTGTTGTTGTCTTTGATCATTATGTATCTCCAATCCACCACCATACTTTGTATATTCCTGCAATTCCAAATCAATGTATGCATTTTGTGTAGGGATAGAAATAACCTGTCTAAACCTGAGGTTGTGGAGCAACAACTTTGACTGCATTAAACCTGACTTGCTGATTGTTGTTCCTTCTTCTTTGGGTGTGCCATTCATCTGGTGTCACCTGCTGTTGGTTTTCCTAAACTTGGTGTCTTACTTGATTGTGATCCAGCTCTCTTCTACCAATATCCATATTCTTAGCACTTGGTTTTTCAGCAGTAAAATTTTGAGTATTATCCTTACCAATCCTTTTTTTTTCCATCTCCTTTCTTCTTTTATTCTCTTCATCCCTCTTTTTGATTATGCAAGCAGTCTCCTTATGCCCTTGATGCTTGCAATAGTAGCAGTAATCTGGGATGTTGTCATAATCTATCCTTTGCCATCTGCCATCAGTAATGTCTTCTCCAATGTATCCCATCCAAATGTGAGATGGTCTTTCCTTTGTTAAATCTACTTGTACTTTGACTCTAGCCTAGCTTCCTCTAGTCTTAGTAATAGATGAAGAGTCAAGATATAACACCCTACCAATTGGTGAAAGAAGGCTAGTAATGAACTCTTTGTTGTAGCAATGCCAAGGCAACTCAGGTAAGGATATCCAAATGGGAATAAGAGGTGTTTCTTCATCCGGCTTGAATGTGGGAGTCCAAGCCTGTATCCTTATGACTTGGCCAGCTATATTCATTCTTTGTTTAGTCCACACCATATTATAATCCAACTCATTATCTAAATCTATGTAGACATGCCTCGAATTGAAATGAGCTATTTTAACCCCCCCTGCTAATTGTGTTTGGAGAATAAAGTTTTTCCTTATTAACTCCACTCTAAGCATTGTGTAGATAAACTTTCCAATAAGTGTAAACTTAAATGTTGAAGCTAAAAATTTCTCTACTTCATCCTTCACTCCCTCCCCTTTAGGACCGAGTTCAGGACATAGATTCCTTGAAAGTGAATTAAGTGTACTATACAATACAGCAGGTAGGCCTTGTTTGGTTGTGATCTCAGGCTCTGTTATCTTAATACTCACTTCCTTCTTAGATTGGTTATATCTCAATCGATCAGCATAGGTTTGGATTACTGTATAAGGGGCAGGCTCTTGTGTTTGATCTTTCTTAGGTAAGGAAGCAATATTATCTAAAGGAGGATCCCTCTTATCAACTAAATTCCTATTTGCAGGTCGATCAAAATTGGAAGAAATCTTAGGAAAATTATATTGATTCCAACAGAATTCTCATTTCCAATCTCAATCTCTTGCAAATTACCAGCATCAGTAGGATTAATATTGCTAGTATTAGGATTACCTTGGATATTTCCTTGCTTATTGATTATACCAGATGAATTCGCAGCATGTGACCTATTCTACGTAATATTCCCAGCTTCTCTCGATCCTGAATTTCTCGAATTTGTGGTTGAAGATTGTTGCTGGTATTGATGTGTTTCTTGACCCTCATTCAAGTTAATATTTCGATTTGGGATTTGAATTGAAGAATTACCCTGTTGACGATTGTCATGAATTTCTTGTTCTTGAGGAACTTGTTGCGATTCCAGTAATTCTCCTTCCCGTCGAGAATCAATATTGCTTACACCGATTTCATCTCCGACTTGTTGATTTTGTGAATCGATTGCTGGAAATACTTCCACATTAATAGATTGTTGTCGATGAATTTCAGTTTGACCTTGGTTATGACTCGATTTCTGCGATCCACTCACTTGCGATTCCACTTTTCCTACTTCCATCTGTAAATCGATTCTTTGACGTTCGCCATCGTGACCCCTATTATTTGAATCGCTCAGATTGTGCCCTGTTTCGAGATTGTGACGCGATGCATCAATTTCAGCCTCTATCGTCGCAACATGGACCGCTTCTTCCCTCCGCTGCGAAGAGGAAGACGCCGCCGCCTCCGCCACTTCATGAATAGTCGATTGAACTATGGGATTTCCAATCCCTACCAGATCAGGAGGCCTAAAGAGTTCATCTGCTGGATTTCCAGCCATTCTAAACCCCAAATTCCACTTCGATTAGCCGATCAACCAACCCAAAGTACACGATTCTTGCCAAAAATCTAGAGAGAGAAAATTTTTTAGAGAGAGAAAAAAATTAAAAAATGGAAAAGCAATAGGGTTTAGGGTTTAGGGTTTTTTTTAATTGAACGACCCTTGGGGTGGGTCAGGGGCTTAGTATCACCCCCAGGCCTTAACATTTATAGAAAACAAGGATTACAAGAAGGGGGACATTCACCTTACCTTCTACTATTTGGTTGGTATATAATTGACTTATCTACTAAGATAGTCAATTCAACCTTTTACAATAAGATGCACATCTATAGAAATATAATACCTAGAGAGGACTCCTCTCTTAATACATTTTCTAAGAAAGCATAAATTAGGGAGACTCTCCCTTTACATGAATAATGAAAAAGTAAACCTATTCTACTAACTAAGAAGTCAATGAATAAGTTAAATGACATTTGTGGTACAAGACATTTATTGCATTAAAGTAAATCTAAGGAGGATGTTTTATTCTCTTGAGCTTCCTTCTTCTAAAACTTTGTGTGCCCATTTTCTCCAATAGGTAACTTCCTCTAATTTCTCCTTTGAGTTGTCTTGTTGTATAAAAATGTTGAAGGATTTCCAGATTGTGACTCCATTTTGCTAACAAGTCAGCAGTACAATTTGCTTCTCTGAATATGTGATGACATTGAAAATGATCCAATTTCCTGATTATGTGTTGAATTTGCTGGACAGTTTCTTCATGTCTCCAAGGTATCTTTGTGTTGTTGTTGATCCATTTGAACAGTAGCTCTGAGTCAACTTCCAGCTCTATGTTCTTGTATCCATGTTGTTCACACCAATCCAGCCCATATAATGCAGCTTTTATCTCTGCAGTGTTGTTAGTACCAACACCAAAAGGAAAAGAAAAAGCATAAACTATTTTACCTTGATGATCCCTCAGAATGCCACCTCCTCCAATCTTACCTGAATTTTGTAAAGCACTACCATATGTATTGAGTTTGTAAGTGCCCAGACCTGGTTTATTCCAACTTACCATGACTATCTTGTATTGCTGTTTGCATTGGTCCACTATATTAATAAGATTGCTCCAACTAGACTGCCATGGTATACTAAG